GCCGTGACGCGCAAGAGGAGACCCAGAGGGAAGCCGGTTCGATGAAAAGAGAAGTCTAAAACGTGAGAGAGAAAGGAAGAGGGGCGAGGAGCGAAGAGAAGAGAGGAGAGGAGAGGAGAGGAGAGGAAAGGCAAACGAGCGAGCGAGGTCGAGACACGCGGCAGCTGTCTGGCGCCAGGGTCCCCCTGTTCCCTCAAACAGTCGCGCCGAATGCCACCCACCTTAGCCGACCTATTGTGCCATTCTGAAACCTGCATCCAGGGAGCCAGCTTTCCCTCTCTTTTCTACCCGTTACCTACTCCAGACCTGTTCGTCCTGCCTCCAGGACGCCGAGCCGCTTCTTACCGGTTCGCTACTGACAGAGATTTGACGTCATTATTTATTATTAATGCCCTTTGTTTCGCTGCGTATCGTATATCAACCAGTTCTCTTCTTTCGTTACGCTGATACCGGGATACATTTATGGAGGAATTCTCTGATATTGTTTTTGAGCAGGGTTGAAAAGCCGTCGTGGGAATTTGTTAGATAGGGCGATAGAGAAATTTTAGATAGGCTAAATTTTGTCGATACGAGATTTTTTAATTGGAAGTTGATGTAAAAATTTCGATTAGTGTTACAGAATTAGAATTTAGAGTGAAATAATGAAATTCTTTGATTAGAAAATAGTCACTTGAAAAGTTATGATATGGTTGCAATGGGATTTGAAGTTGAAAATTAGAATAGAATTAGAAAAAAACAAATTGTAATTAAAATTTGAAAACTTGCAGAGCTTCGTGTATAGAATCCGTGCACTTCGTCATTGATATATCTAACAACGACCAAGTGTTTCGTTCAATTGTTTTTCAATGGAAGAGATATGATTAGAATCATAAGGTGCCTCTGCAAGTTAGGCTCTCTTCAGTATGTTAGATACGTAGTCTCTTGTTTATGGAATGCTGTTTGACCGATTGCCAGCAGATTGAACGGATACTTCGGTAGAGGTAGATGATCATTGTTTGCTTTAAGTATGTTAAATTAATGTGTTAGATGTTTGCTTATGCAACACCACGTAATCTCTTTAAGAAGAAAACGCTGACGGTGATTCAGTAAAATATGTTGTGTCTATTCAATAAATTAATTGCTAAGAATAGCAGTGATTATTAAACTTAATTTTGATCAAATATAATTAAAACACAAAGAAAAAGAAAAAATACAATTTGAAATATTACTTAATAAAATAAAATAAATTATTTTAATTAACAAACTAAATATAAAAAATTAATATAAAAATGTGTAAATTTCATTATTTTTGTTTTTTGGTTTATTTCAGAAATCAAGAGAATGTATTATACGCCCTCTTTTCTAACAGACGCTAGACGAATAGAATCAAATCGAATGCTACAATGTTTTGCAACAAGAGTGATGATAAATTTCGCTTAATTATTTAAAAGGAACTTGCACCAGTTTAATGCCAACTTTCAAACTTAGTAGAATCAAATATATCAAACTGAACGATTCACGTCATCTAATACCAAGCCAATCTGTATCTATTCGAGAGCTATAATTAAACAAGTTCGAGGTAAAGATGATAGATTTAATTTTTGCATCATTGTAATTACAGTGACACATCAAACCGGAAACAGGTAAGGGAAACTATAAGGCATTCTTCCAAGCTTAATTAGACAAAATTCAATTTAACATTTTTTTCTAAATTATTCTTAATATTAATATCATCAAAATTAAGATTTGCAGAAATATTAATTTTTTAATTTAATTATTTATTAGATGAATGTAGGTTTATTCATTATTTCAATGATAATCTCTACTTCCTCTAAGGAAGTTCACCATGCTCGGTACTGTACATGAAACTTTTCAATCAACTCCGAAAAAGAAAAATCATAACAATAATTTTCTATTATTTTCTTTGGCCGATGATTTCCATATAATCTGAATGCAACAAGCGTTCGAGCGAGGCTGGATCGGAGCAACTTTCCTCGCGTCCAAAAGCGTTTCGAGCGTTCCGCGAAACGGCGAGTAGCGCGAAGGGAAAAAGGAGCAGAGGTTCGCGAACCGTGCGCTGTGTCACGCGTGAAAAGCCTGGCTGTGCGCGTCAGCTCGCTGGTACGCGCGTGCTAAGGAAATTTCTTCGTCGGATGCGGCAGAACGCATTCGTTGGTATTCTCGTATGGCTCGTATTTAAACGTCTCCCGTCCACCTAGTCCGTAGGACCTTTCTTTACGAGACTCGTACCGCTTATTTTTAGAGCAACGCGATATTGCTCGGAATTATGCAGCTGCCGCGACGAGCATTAAATCTCCCGACAAGAATGTCGATCTTTGACCTTGCTCGCAACCTCGCCTCGCTAATCCTTCGTTCCACGTAATCGTGCTTTTGCATCGGTGCATGTTAACCCTTTCGCCACGGTGACGTTCGATCAACAAGCGTTATCGTCCCATTGGCGTAAATAAAAGTATTAAAATTCTTTAAACTTATCGACTTGATTGCAGAGTATCTCCCATTTGCGAATCGTGGTTTGTTTAACCCTTTTGCTACTGACATTAAGGGTGACTATAATCATACAGTATTCGGTAAATACTGTTTATCAAGAATGATAAGGATAATCATTGGAGATTAACTGGCCATTGTGTACTAATGGTGACGTAGTCACGCAGTATGTATCATGTAATCACTGGTGTGTATTATAGTCACGTTTAATATACAGTGAACAATTAATATAGTCATCCTAAGCACACAGTGCTTACTAAATATGGTAATTATAGATGACTATAAGTGATTATAGGCGACTATAAGTGATCGTATTTGACTACAAATGACTATAGTAACTATACTCCTCGTAGCACAGATTGGTCACTTAGCATAGTAGCTGCCTATAGTTACCTACAAGTGACTATAAATGACTATACGAAACTATATTCCTCAAAGTACACATTTGTTACTTAGCATAGTAGCTGACTATAGTTACGTACAAATGACCATAAGTGACTATAAATGACTATAGTAACTGTAGTTCTTAGAGCACACATTAGCTACTTAGCATAGCAGCTGACTATGGTCACCTACAGTTACTTACAATCATTTATAATCACCTATAGTCACTATATCAAGTAGGCACTGTGTGCTAAAGGTAACTGCATTAATCGCAAGCAGTCATTGTGTATCAAAAGTGACTGTAATCATCCCGTATATTAAGCGATCATGGTGCACTAAGGTGACTACATATAGCCAGTCATCATCAAGTGGTTACCGCTGTGTACTAAACAAAGATGACTATACTATCTCACTTTGCAGCAAAGTTCCGAAAGAAAATTTCTGAAAAATCAATCTCATTACATACTTTGGAGACATACCACGTACAGTCATCCATACGTGGACAATTCCATTTCCATTCTTCCAGGAAAGTACCATCGATAAAAAGCATCCGTCTGAAATATACAACACAGACGACATGATCGAGAAACGATCTTGAAGACAGCTTTTCTGCGAGGAATTTCTACTGAATTCTGATCGGCAATCCTTTCGCGGAATTGAAAGATGAAATATTAATTTATAAAAAAAAATATTGTTCCCATAATGAAGTTGGAAATTTTCAAGTATCTGTTTCTTTCTTATCAATTCTTTTTAATCCTTATCCGGATTTTTAATATAAGGTGTAATTTGTTTTCTATTTTATTAAATTAACTACAAAATAATGATTGAAATAATCTTAGCTTATAAAAAAAACTAGGGAAGTCAAATAATCAACTGAATTTTCCAACCCTGACCAAATAGAAAAGGACCAGATTTCCGGGATTTGTCACGAAAAAAGGGAAATTGGTAACTCTGTTGTTTGAAAGACCTCTCAGAAAGTCTTGGACGAACCTGCAAACCAGTTCAGCCAGGAGTCTTTCTGTTCTCTTGGACACACGGAAGTGAAAAACGCGACGAAAGACGAAGAGAAGAAATCGTTCGTAGCATCGTTCAAGGTTAACCACGTGGATATAGGCGTAGCCAACGACCAATGGCGTAGCCGAAGAATCGATGTATCCATGGAATAACCGTTAAGCCTACATATAATGAGCACCGTTTACGCAGTGAACATTTTTTTCGTTGGCCAACTATTAGCAAGCTCGTCCTTTCATCATCCTCATTTTGACATTCTACCAAAGAATTCTTGATCTTGAACGAATTTCTTCTAGGTACCATCAGCGGTACACTAGATATCCTCTGCCAACCAAGACTAGGATATGGTGAATTTTAATTAAAAATAAAATTATTTTACATTTGAATTTTTACAGGACCCCATCATTAATATTATAAGAAATTTTCTGAATCCCTTAGCTATTAAGTATTTAAAATAATAGATAATAGATGAAATTAAAAAATGTCACGCTTCCAATTTCCTAATTTGCATTATTAATATAATAATATGTAATTCTATCTGAAATAATATTTTTCTAATGTTATTATTTCTGCTCTAATTATTGAAAATTAAAAAAGTTTCAAGCTTCCAACTTGCTATCTATAATAGTAAAGCTATTCATAATTCTTCCTATTATTTTGAGTACGCTTAATTTGTGATATCAACGAGTTAATACGATACAAGTATTTGGAATAATAGATAATAGAAATAGTAAAAATTTGGAATGGCTGCAATATGGTAGTTAAAGTGTTAATGAAATTCTCATTTAACTTTGACACCTAAGTGTCGTGAGCAAAACAAATCATCATATTTCCCGAATCCACCCGAATGAACATCTATTCTAGAATAAAGATCCCTTTAGCTATGGTGTCAACTATAACGACACACCTATTGTTGTTTTTTTGTCAAAATGACATTCAGCAAATGAAACGAGTAGAAAAAAGGTACTTATACAGCCGGGCTCAAAGGGTTAAGATCAACGAGCTGGAAAGGCAAGTGGGACCGTGTTCGGCGGTTTCCTTTTCTATAGACCGGCATTTTCTTTCAGACAGCGGAGATAGACGCGAGAAAAGGGTATGTATAACCTTGAGGACATAGTTACCTTCTCCGTTGGTGGTAAGGGAGCCGGGAAGTGGCAGGGGTGTGCTGTTTTTGCACCGACGTTGATCCCCTTCGCTGGGCGCACGATCTGAAAATAAACGGCAACCCCTTTAGAAGCTTCCCTCGTACGAGTACCGTTCGTTATTTCTACGGTTCTTAGCTTCTAACGCAATTAAATCTAACGTTCGTCCATTAACGTTAAATGGCTGGGTATTGAATTATCAGGTAGCAGTATAAGTGAATCCTTGATTTTCACATGAAACGTTCATGCAGTCGCGTTTGTCAAACTTCAAGCTTCAAATGAATGCATCAGAAATACTATTTTGTGGTACTTTTATGTCATCAAATCGTGTTTGACTTTCTACGTTTCGAAATCCACCGTTTGATACGCAACAAGCTAATAGTAACTCAAGGTAAGCTTGGCTTACTTAACCAGTCATTTTATGTTAAGAATATTAATGAAGGGATTGTATAGGCGTTTTCTTCAAATCTTAAGTTTTAAAATGATGTAGCGTAAGTGTTATTTGATGGTACTTTTATGTCATCAGATCGTTTCAGACTTTCGATACTCCAAAATCTGCCGTTGTTCGTTGTAACTGATAATCATTCATTTTGCATTAAGAATGTTTATAAAATCTTTAGACATTTTCGTGAAATTTTAAGCTTTAAATTGATGTATCATAAGCGCCATTTTATGATACTTTTATGTCATGAATTCATTTAAGATTGTATTTCGAAACTGCACATTTAATACGCAACAATGTTAAACGTCACTCTCCCATCTGGAACTAGTTGCAACAAGTTAGAGCAAGGGGTTGAAACGTCTCTAGCTGGATATAGAAACATGGATCCTATTTATAAAGTAAAATTCAAGCTGACCAGAAAACCAAACAGCGAGACTGCTTCGAAGAATCGGTAATGGAGTGCTAACATCCAGCGAGAAGAAGAGAGACTGTATCCTTCGCGTTGCAAGTTTCGATCGTGATGCGAAGATTCGCGTCTTATTTATGGACCAGAAAGAAAGAGGAAAGCTACGTTCTGAAAGTTCCTAGAAACGTTATGATGCAAATACACGAGAGTTATTAGCGAAAATGTTACGACATAGATTCGAATCGCCAGGAGGCAATTATAGTCGATATCCCCTAGATATAATTTACCATAGTTAACAGTTTACCACTAGGCTATAGAGAATTTTACATATGATAGAATTTAAATAGGCAACTAAATATTAAGAAAAGTTTGCACGCAAATTTTTAAAGATGAGTGCTATAATTTTGCAAAATTATTATTTTTTGGATTCCCTATATAATAAGTGTAGAAAACCCCCAAACGCTAACACTATCTCCTTACCATTAAGTTATAGGGGATTTTGCAAAATTATGTGAAGTTCCCTATAACTATAAAGAAACTCACAAACGCTTGATTTATCATAGCTACCACTTTACCATTAAACTATAGTGAACTCTGTATTTACAATTAAAATATTTAATTAAAATTTGTATGCAAATTTGCACGCAATGATTTTGTAAAATTATTACTTTTGGAACCTGCTATAGGGAGAGTTCCCTTAGTACCAGACGGCACCTAGTATCGGACATTAGCTATACCTAAACCAATTGAAATATGACAAAATTGTTTCAACTATCAAAACAAAGAAGAGGATAAAACAAACGTTTGACGGTTGAAACAATTTTGTCACATTTCAGTTCTTTTAGATATAGCTAATGTCCGATACTATACCGCAGTTCACCAGAGTCCATAACTGCGACGCGCAGGTTGGAAGATGGTGGGGGAACGCAGCGAGCTCTCTGCTAATCGCTTTCCACTTCGTTTGGAAGTATCGCCAATCAGGGCGAAGATGCGCACTAGAGAAGCGCGAAGAACGAAAACTGGTCTTTTCGCAGTTATGGACTCTGGTGAACTGCGGTATAGGTGCCATGCCGTCCGGTACTAGGGGAATTCCCCCTAATTGTGTCTTTAGAAGCAATCAGTCTTTCAAAAATCGTACCCATCCTTCGTTAGTCGTCCTGTTCTTACAAAGAATTTTTCCACAGAATTAATCGAAACATTTCTGCTGTTTCTTAAGAACAAAAAGGAACACGTGAATTTCATGGTGAATCATGTTTCTCGAGGAAATTCGAGCGACAAGTGCAGCTCGCAGAGAGCACAAAGGAGGTGACAGAATCGTCTAAAATAATGATTCGCCGTGGGCAGATCGTTTATCGTCAACGTGGCAAGAAACTTCAACTGTAACGTACGAAATGACCAATTAATTTCCTCCTAAGAATGCTATCTTCCATCTTGACCGAACTTTCAGCTACCTATATCATTCGTAACTCGATCGTTCGCTCGTGCTACGATAAATTTTCTCCGACTATCTCTATTGAGTTCGTCTGCTAATTCGGTCGATCCTTACTATCGTTTCAATGTTTTCTACAGGCTTCGAAATACTCATTCATACAATTCTGTGCAGACGAATGTAAAACGACCTATCTTTAACTTTGAGATTATCCAATTTTCACAGAAAATATATATATATATATTTTTTTTAAATTAAAAACTTTGAATTTGTAAATGATTTTGATTATAGTACTGGATCAGAGTTAATCAGAAAAATATTAATACAGATATTATAATAATATTGCATTTTTTAATTATAATTTTCAAGATGACTCCATATTCCATCAAATTTCATATTTAGTCGAAACCAATTTATTAGCAATAAATGTTTTTAGTTTTATTTCATTTATATTTGTTTGTTGCTCATTTTTCATTGAAAAACTGATTTATTACCACTGTTAAAGCACTATCCAGATCGCAAGACACGGTGCAGGGGTCTGCGAAGCGAATCGGACCACACGCGTGGACACCAGACAAGAGACCTGGAAAATTTCTTGGGGAGAGGAGACCGGTTGTTTTAATGATCTTTACAGCACTATTAAAAGCACTATGCAAAATCGCCATCATTCGACGTGGATGAAAAGAGCTGCATCAGTCAAGTGTTTAAAAAAAAAAAAAAAAAATGAGACTAAAGTGCTTTTAAGCAAAAGAAGAAGCAATGAGAATGGATCACTGTGACTTATAAGAATGATTTAAACTTTGAAGATAAAAATTCTAAAAATTTGTATTTGAATAATGTTTAGCTACGAATAGTCCTGATATTTCTAAAAATAATTTTATTTTCTCTCATTTTCTAAAAATACCTAAAGATTTATTAAAAATAATTAAAGATTTCGTAAGAAAGCAAGGGTAACTTTCGCGCCAGCTTGATTTGCTATGTAATTTTTAGAGCGGCATCGGTTGTTGGATAACCCTTTAGCTAACCTGGCCAGTATTCCTTTCCCAAGGATCTTAGAAGGACTAGACAGAAGTTGGAAGACGGGATTCATTGACTAAAAGAGAGGATGACGTCAGAGGACAACAAGTCGAAGGAGAAACAGAGGAGGGCGGTCGCATTCTTGTTGAATTCCAGCGGCTCGTTCCTACGGGAGAGGCATTTCCTGCCTGGCTAAGCCTGACAGCGCTAGAAGGCAGTAACAGTAGCAAAAGAAGAAACGTGGCCACGAGATTCAGCATCCGTCAAGTATTTTTAGGAGGAACTTCATGGAAATATCCCTGCTCTCAATATGCGTCACGAGCTGAAAGCAGCCTCCCGCTTTTTCATTCTTTCCCGACCGATTCCTAATCATTTTAGATGAATTTATTTCACTGTTAGGGATCGCGAAGCTCTTGTTGTGATTTGTTTATAGGGAAATTTAATCGTGAACGGATTTAAATAAAATATAGTCGAGATTCGATCAACAGGTTTGATTTAGTCGATTCGTTTGGTGCCTCTTTTAATTCATATTTTGCAAAAAAATTATTTTTCATCGCAGGTGTCGTTCATTTTAAATTTAAATTTTATTTAACAAAATAAACTGTATAATTAAAACAAGATGTCACTTAATTTATAAATTAATATCGAAACTTGAAATAAATTAAAATTCCTTCAAATTGAAATTATTGAAATTAATATAAATTGATCAAGATTGGAATAAAATATTTTCAATAGAAGATTATGAATACCGTACAATTAGAATCTCTAAATTGAAATTATTTAATGTAAGAAAGATTAATTTTTCTTCTAACGTGAGTCGAAAACAAGATGATCAAATAAACGAAAAACATGTTGGAGGAACGATTTGTTCTTATTTGCTCATTCGTTGTACAAATTTCACCGCGAACCGTCCGCCGGGCGTTACAAAACTCCGAGATGGGATCGAGGACAATCAGCGTGCAAATATTTAGCCACCGATAAGGAATAAATTGACACGTAAACTTGGCAACCCGTTACCGCCGTTGATCGCGAGCAAACACGTTTATGTACGTATTTGCAGAGTGTTCGATCGACTTGCAATTTGGCACGTAGAACCCTTAAAAATGAAAGAAATTTTGTCGATCAATAACTTTTGTCCTTCCAACTCATTAGCAACTGAATGACAGAATAGGTTCGACAGTGAGGTACAAGTTGCTTGATTTATCTTGACATTTGAGTAAAGTTATTTGTCCATAGTGATTCAAGAGGAATAACAAATAATATTAGATAGTAGATAATGTTATAGATCATTAGAAGAAAAAATTAAAAATATATACATATATATATAATGAAAATTAACTTTTTAATTTTTATAATAAATGTACCATTTTTGTCACTTTCTTGATAAATTATAAAATTAAAACAACTTTGTAAAAATATTTTCATTATTAATTTATTTGAAAATCATCAAAAAAATAAAGACAAGAGTCAAACGTATTTACAATACCATTTTATAACAAAAAAAAGTTTCTCAGTTCCATTCTGAATCCGAAACCAAAATTTCTCCCAACTGAAATTTAATTTTTCCCATCATAAACATCGTCTAAACATAAAATTCTCCAATTTTCTGTATCCCAGAAAAAAAACCACCAACGAACTTGCAAACCTGTATGATATTTAATCGTCTCAAAGTACCTGGTGTGCTTCCGAGTACCACACACGACGGTCCCCCACGTATCTGGTACCCCGATGCAACCTCCTCGTAATTCGAGTTGCAGTCTACCGGGGTCACC